ATAAGTTCTTCGGTGGTGCCAAGAAGATCAGCTTTGGGACTTTGATGGCAAAGATGCAGTCTATAAAGCCGAAAAATCTAGGACCTCGCGGTGATCATCTCAAGGTTGCATGTGCTTTCTACGTGCAATGTGTTTTGATACCGAGGAACAAGAAAACATTGATGAATTCTCAGTTTCTGAAATTGGCGGATGACTTGGACAGATTTAAAGCCTACCCTTGGGCAAAAGTGTCCTACAATCTAATGGTTTCTCAGATAAAGACTCTAATGGTTGGGCAGGGCGAGAGGTTCAAGGAGAATAAGAAAGCCAATCCTCAATACAAAAATGCAAAGTTCACATTGCATGGCCTTCCTCTCGTCCTACAGGTAATGTTCACCTTATATTTGATTGTGTGTTTGTATTGTCATGTTGCATGAAACACAAACGGGTTTTTTCTTCCACATACACTTCATCCTTTATTACAGACATTTCCTAACTGTAGACAGACAACTTATTCTGCCACATTGTTTTTGTTTAATCTTCTTTTGTTGTTTTTCAGGTTTGGGCTTACAGGAGTCTGCCAGAGCTAGGACAGAGACGTGCTGAATGTGTTGGCAATCATGACGTCCCCTTGCTCAATCGGAAGGCTACGCGTTCTTTCATTTGCAAAAGCTAAATGAAATGATTTTCAAGGATCATTACGATGTAATGTATTTGTGTGTTTTTAAAATATGAAATTTTGCTTCAAAGTGTGTAAATGACTATAGCTTGTACGTGTAGGAGGAAGACGAGGAAGACGATGGTGAAGATGATGATGGCTTCAAATCCACGATGATGGCTGAAATGAAAAAGCTACGGGCGCAAGTGTTGTCTCTGGAGGCGCGGCTGAAACTAATGGAAGATAGGTTGATTGTCGGGAGTGTGGCTGAGGAGAAGCATGATGAAGATGAAGATTCCAAGCATGAAGCTGATGAATATGAAGATGTCAAGCATGATGAAGTTGCAGTTGTTGTTGAGGAGGATCATAAAGCTGATTCTCAACATCAAAAGCATGAGGAAGTAACTGTTATTGTGTTTCCCACTTGAGACTGCTCTTCTTTCCATGCATTGTGAATGTATGTCTTTCCTTTACTTTTTGTTTGTCTCAGATAATTGTTGTCTGTCTGTATGTCCTTTACCATTAAATGTAGGTGGCAAATGCAAACACATGTGATATGAATGCTTATGTACCTTCTCATGAGGTTCATGAATCTGTAGCAGAAACTGAGAATCGTGTGGAAGCAAGTTTTATTGTGTTTCCAACAATAGAACATGTTTCCCCTTTCAATGCTTTTCTGAATGTCTGTCTTTCATTTATTTTTGTCTGTCTGATATATTATTTGTCTGTCTGTATGTACTTTACAATTAAATGTAGGCGGAAAATGCAATTGCAGCTGATATGAATGCTTCTGTACCTTCTGATAAGGTTCATGATTCTGTAGCTGAAATTGAGAAGCATGTGGAAGTAAGGTTTATTGTGAATGTCTGTCTTTCCTTTATTTTTGTCTGTCTAATATATTATTTGTCTGTCTGTATGTCCTTTACCTTTAAATGCAGGTGAATAATGAAAATGCATCTATTATTAATGACTTTGTATGCTCTGATGAGGGTCATGAAGCTGAAGTTGTACTTGAGGACCATGATGAAGTTGCACACGTTGTTGACGAGGGTCATGAATCTAGCGTTGAACCTGTTCACATTCATGACAGAGCTTATGATGTTGGTCAGCAGGGCCAAATTGATGAGAAGGCAACATGTATCATCTCAAACATCGTGCATGAAGTAAGTGTTATTGTGTTGCCCACTTTAGAACATCTTTCTTCTTTCCGTTCAGTACTGAATTGTCTGTCTTTTCTATATTTTTGTTTGTCTCATATATTGTTTGTCTGTCTGTGTGTCCTTAAACATGAAATGCAGGTGGATAAAGCAAATACGCCCGATATTGATTAGTCTGTACCTTCAGATACCGCCTATTGGGACGAGGTGGTGGAGTCGTGGCAAACCGCCGCTAAAGGGGAGTTGGAAGCCGATGTGGGAATGAAAAGGAAACGATTCGCCTCTAAGTTCAAACTTAGCCCTTTCATCGACCCTAACCCAAACGGTTGAAAGCCAACGATTACTTCTTCTTGAAATTCCTTAAACTTCGCTAGTGTGTATAGTCCGTGTACTTGTTACTCCATTTCAAATATACTAACACACGGAATCATTTTTGTAAATGATTTTTGTGTCTGCATGAAACTCTTTTTCTGCCTTACATCTCAATGCCCGACCGTATTGCTCCACAAACTGTTTGAGACTTGTTTTGGAGTGCACAAAACCATCAAAGAATGCGTTCATGCTCTCACTTCTTTGTGTGGTGGACATACCCGCCCAGAATGTAGGTTTAAGGTAACAAGGTACCCACCGTTGGCGTTCATTGTACATCACCCCAAGCCAATCATCACTTTGAAGTGAATACCTGCGACAAATAAGCAGTTATCACCATGACGAATAATATTGCCCCAGACCCAAATGTCTGTGACAGACAACTATTGTCTGTTAGACAGAAACCAAATGTCTGTCACAGACAATTTTAGTCTGTTACATACTTTAGTCCAGACTCAAATGTCTGTGACAGACAACTATTGTCTGTGAGACAGAAACAATCAATTCATTCCAGACAGAAATTGTCTGTCACAGACAACTTTAGTCTGTTACATACTTTAATATTGAATACCTTTCCAACCAACTTCAAATTGAGCAGGGAACTGTGAGTCATATACTACGTCATGTATTCCGGACATAATTTCATCTTTATCGATAAACCCTCCAAGCTTTTCCGGTAGCTTCTTCATGATGTGCCATAGACACCATCGGTGCTGCGTATTTGGAAAAATAATTTGAATGGTGTTTTGCATGGCGCAATCTTGGTCAGTAATAATCCCGTTTGGGGCACAACCGTTCATACATTCAAGCCAAGCTCTAGAAAGCCACACAAATGTTTGTGTATCTTCACTCGAGATTAGGCCACAACCAAGCAAGATTGATTGACCATGATGATTAACTCCAACGAATGGGGCGAATGGCATATCGTATCGATTTGTAAGATATGTTGTGTCAAAAGTTATGACATCACCAAAGTCTTTGTAGGCATATCGACATCGATTGTCCGCCCAAAACACATTTCGTAACCTTGACCCCTCATCCAAATCAATCATGAAAAAACCCGGGGCATTGAGCTTGCATCCTACAAAAGAAGTCTTGAATGGCCATTGCATCACCATTTCCTAATCTAAGTTGGCGCACTTTATGTATGTAGTTCCTACAATCCTTTTCAATAAATGGAAGTTCTTCATATCCACCGGCTTCCACAACGGCGGAGTTGAAACTCTTCTGGACTGGTATTCCCGCAACATCATTAATGTCAAGGTTTCTCATCATGTGCGGTGTCAACTTTCTATTACACCGAAATAACATTGCCTTGGTAGGACTCATATCATGATTATGATCTAATCATGACTTTGAAATCACCCATCCTCCGGCGTAATTTGTACGTGCTCTTATTCTTGCAAGGCAACCGACTTGCATTGAAAGTTGAGGCTTCAAAACATTTTGTGACCGGCTGGCCCTACTTCCAGCATGAGCACACTCTAAGACAATCGCAGTGATGTAGCCTGTTTTGTCTTTACGTGAAGTTCATTGTCTAACAGGAAAGCCCACTCTTCTACCATAAGCCTTGTAGAAATCATAAACTGTCTCTTTACTAGGAAACTCCATACCAACCTCAGGGTCTTTATTATTACTCTTTTCTTCATCTTCGTTTGTTATTCCAAACAAAAATACATGTTCACAACAATTGACAACACACAACACGTTGTCTGTCCAGACAGATAGTAGTATGCATGATTTATTTTCACAACATTCTTGTGGGCATTCACAAATACAATCACATGTCTAACACTTATACACACTTTTACATAAAAACAACATTCACTATGAAGACATACTACAAAACACTCTTTTACCAATACTTGCATGTCCATACAGACGTTATTTCTACGTAGACAAACAAATTACATTGTCTGTCAGACAGACATTTTACATATGGGTCAAACAACAAACCTACGATGTTTCAGTAGACAGTCACTGCACTTATAACTACAATGTTAGACAGACAACCCTTTTCATATCCCAAATACACACAAAAATCAAGAAAACAAAATCAAGAAAATCAAGAAAATAAAACCAAGACAACAACACATACTCAAGCCTTCGACCTCTGGACCTTGTTCATCGTCTTCCCTCGACCTAGCATCCAGTTCGCCGGAAACCGGCGTACAAGCATCATCGACCCAAAAATCATTCATGTTTAGCTCCATTGAAGAAGAGTTTCAACGGAGAAGATGAAGGATATCACTTCTCCGATCACTGTAGCTCTGGTTGGTTCCGTTTTTTTGACGAAATGGTTCTGCGCAGGGGAGGGAGGGTTGTGAGAGGGCTGAATTTTTGGAGGGGGATAAATGATGGTAAAAATATGGGCTTTTTATATGGGGGTACCAAAGGTGTACAAAAATGGTGTACACCTAGCAAAATTGTGGTTGTAAATACAATTTCCCCTCCATAAATAATCACCACCCCACCCTAAAATTTAATGCCCAGCCCAGCCCAGCCCAAGCCCAAGCCCAGCCCAAGCCCAGCCCAGCCCAGCCCAGCCCAAGCCCAAGCCCAGCCCAGCCCAGCCCAGCCCAGCCCAAGCTTATTACCAACTATTCCCCTCTACTGAAGCAAACCTGTGGCCTCCTTGTGTGAACCTGCGGAAGTGTGGAAGCAGCGGAACTGCCAAACACGAAGGTCTAAGAGGGAGTAGCGGAGCTGAGACGGAGACACCAAACACAACACCATCCGACCCCTGACCACCAACTGGGCCGCTGCCCGCCGTCCACGCGTCCAGGGCCTTGTGTCTGCCGTCTTCCCTCTCCTGCTCTCCGAGTCGGACTCTGCCCTCTGCGGCTCTGCCTCCATCTCTAGGTATACTCTAAATTCTAATGCTCTTTTACACTTTTTTTCTTGATTAAACTTGGTATTATCTGTTAAACATTGCATTATTTGTTAAGCATTGTACTATTCTATGAAACATTGTTAATCAATTTGAATATATTTGATTAAGAGAGGACCTGGAGCGATTGTGTCAATGTGTACTATATGTGAAACAGTGTATTATTTTGTGACTTTGTATTAGTTTGTATTATTTTTTAGTTTTATAAATCTATTTAATTATTAATTGAATTTTTCAGTACATAATTAAAGATTAGAGAGTGATTTTTTTATCACACAATTGAAGATTAGAGAATAATTATTTGTCTTGTGGACATGTAATAAATACTTAAAAATTTCAATTGAATTTTGAAATACTAGAATCTTTAATAATTATTAATAAATTTATAAAATCGCACTAAAACGTTTAAATTTTAAGTTGTATACGGTATAATTTATTCCTACAATTTATAAGTTATCGATAGCCTCGAGCCCGGATTGAACCAAACATCACTAAGCTCAAACTTGGCTTGAATAACAATTCGAACTGAAAATCTAGCCCGCTTTTTATTTCAAAGCTTGTTAAGCTCGGGTCGTTAAATTAAATTCGAAATCATGCTCAAACTCGAGTTGTTAGGAAAAAATCTCAGTTCGATAACAACCCTAAGCTAAACATTTTGTGTGCAGTAACAAATGTTTTTACTGCTTAGTACACCCCACCTCTCATTCCTGGATCCGCCCCTTGGAGTCACTATTCATTATCTTCCTCCGGCGTTTTTCACGGCGTTTTTCACGGCGTTAGGGGCCAGGGCCCTCCTATGATAGCGGAGTTTAAACATATGACCAACTTTTTTAAAAAATGAAACACATGACCCTATTTGAAAACGAGCTCAATCACAAGTAACTTTTCTGTACTTTTCCCTAGTTTTTTTGCACTAATACCTTTTATTTCTTAAATCAAACTAAAAAAAATAACTCCTGATTGTGGACATCTCTCTAGGGTTGCCGACATAGTTGTCATGGCGCATGGCGATCGCCGTGGCTCAAAGACATTTTTCATGGCACATGGCGATGGCGCAAATACGAATGGCGCATATGGCGCATATGGCGCTACGGCGATGTCCATTTTTTATGTCGATGGCGCATATGGTGCGCGCCATATCTCGCCATTGACTACTATGGTTGCGGATTAGGCAACGCTTAGTTTCGGCTCGTCCGGTGGTGATCGCCCAACGATTACGACACCGAGGTGTTGCCGTCCTAGGGCTTTTAGCTGCTAGGGTCAATTTTCCGCTATCGACATAAGTCGAGGAGCGGCGTTTTCTTTATCTTTGGTTTGCGAAGCGCGTTGAGGAGGATTAACAGACGGTTGGAAGGAGAGCTGCAGTTTAGGCGTCCCAATCTTACGGCTATTTTGACGGTCGAACAACGGGGAGAGGTCGGCTTTGGTGAGACAGACAGGGACTCGATGAAGAGAGGGGACAGATTCTATTGTGCGCTGGTTGTGCAGGTTTTTGTTTTGCTTTCTCTAATTTGCAGATTGTGGTCGGTCATGGCTATTGTGGTCGGTCATGGCTTGCTTGTCCATCGTTTCATGACTCAAAGAGTTGAGGATTGGCGTTTGGCAAAGTGAAGGTATGAAAGGGAGTTTGACCAACAAGAAGCAGGATGAGGAAGAAGATGCGGTACTGTTGGTCCGATCTCCTCCTGAACCGCCACCACGGAAGTGGAGGATTGTGGTGATCGGAAAGCTGGGACAAGATTGTTATTTTTTTTGCTTTTATTTATTTTAATTGTCCGGATCATGCTATTTACTTTCATTTGTATTTTGATTTCTGTTGTAAGACTGTGGATTTGGATATGGGTGATGGAAGGACTGTGTTAACCGTCTTTGGCTCATTTGTGCCCATTAATGGATCAACGAGTTATATTGCTTCTATCAAGGTGATAAACCCCGAATCTGGTTTGAGGGACGATGGTTTTCAGGAGTCTTTTTATCGGTTTACCTACTATCTGAATGATGTGTTATCACTTTAAGCATATTTCTTCCAAAAAAACTAGGGGCCTGTTTACTAACATAGATATTTACCTGTTTTCTACTTCTGTTTTTCGTTCTCCAATTTTCTGTTTTTATTTTTCATTTTTTCTATCTCCAGTTTTCTGTTTTTATTTTCTAGTTTTCCATTTTCAAATCTGAAAACATGTTCATCAATTTTTCACTTATGTGATCATCCAGAAGACTGACACGTTTACTTCACGGGTTACTGAATGGTGCTTATTAGGACTCGTGTTAATAATCGACACATAAAATAAGCAATGTTATAAGATCATGTTTACTTCAAAAGGTTTGAAACATCGTTTAACATTAAAATGTTCAAAATAACCCTATACATATATAGACACACAAACATTCATGAACACAAATATATAATATAATATGTGAGGTCGATCACCTAGTACATGTACCCATACTCCTAACCCATACCCTGCCCCTATACCTTGTACCCCCACCCTACACCCTACACCCAATTCCACACCCTTGACCCCTACCCCTACCCTTACCACGATCTTACACTCTACCCATACATCCCTAAAACCCTTCATACACACCCATACCTACTCGTAGGGGTCGGGGTAGGGAAAGAAGACAGTGGTGGGGTGGTAAGGTCTAGGGGTACGGGGTTGGGTGGGGTAGTGGGTGGGTTAAGGTGGTATTTAGGGGTAAGGGTGGGGGTAGTGAGTAGGGTTGGGGCAAGGTAGGGGTAGAGTAGGGAGTTGGGATAGGATAACGGTAGGGTGGGGCCGAGGTAGGGGAAGGGGTAGGGTGGGGGGTAGGATGGCAGTAGGGTGGGGGTAGGATGGCAGTAGGGTGGGGGTAGGATGGCGGTATGAGGGTGGGGTGGGGGGTAGGATGGCAGTAGGGTGGGGGTAGGATGGCGGTATGAGGGTGGGGTTAGGATGGCGTTAGGGTGGGGCCGAGGTTGGGGGCATGTGGGAAGGGGTAAGGTAGGAGTAAGGGGTAATATACGAGGTGGGGGTAGGGTTAGGGTGGGTCTGGGTGGGGTTGAGGTGGTAGGGGGTGGTGGTAGGGTAGGGTGGATCGGGGTGGGAGTGTGGGACCGAGGTAAGAGCATGTTGTAGGGGGTGGGGGTAGGGTCATTGTAGGGAAAAGGGGTATGCGGGTTGGGGGTTGAATGGGTAGGGTAGGGGTAAGGTACAAGGATGGAGGTACTAGAATGGAATTGACATCAGAGCGGGACCGGACCCACCATTAGGTGTAAGTATGCAAATTCATTGCAACGGCCTGTATCATATGCGTTCTCCAAATCTGGAAAACTAGTAAAAGACACTTCTCCAAATCATTAAGGAAAAGAGTGACATGAAAGAGAGACATGTCTCATTTTTTTTCGTTTTGGAATACGGTTTGGTAAACGCGTTTTTCCGTTTTCCTTTCTCCACTTTTCCAGCAATTTTCTTTGGTAAACACGTTTTCTGTTTTCCAGTTTCCCAGAAAACTGGAAAATATCTCTGTTAGTAAGCACCATTTCGTAACCTGTGAAGTAAACGTATCAGTCTTCTGGATGATCACAGAACTGGGTGAAAAAATTGATGGAAATGTTTTCAGATTTGAAAATGGAAAACTAGAAAATAGAAATAGAAAACTGGAGATAAAAAAACTGAAAAATAAAAACAGAAAATTGGAGAACGAAAAAACAGAAGTATCTCTGTTAGTAAACAGACCCTTAATTTGTTAAACTATGGAATCTCCCCTGAGTGTGTTGAGGAGGGGTGATGCTCTACATTTAGTGTTGCTTTAGACATTAAACCGAGTCATTTATATATGCATTATGCTCTCAGCCTCTCATACACTCTGAAACTTGACGTTCAGAGCTTTTAATAGTTCTGTAATCACATATCAATGCTTAAATGCTCTTCTTTATTTTTTAATTATTTGTACTTGATGACTTGATGTATATATCTTATCAGACATTTGATAAATTCTTAATGAACGGAGAAATGTGAAGGCTTGAAGTTTGTGCATTTATATGGAGAATGTGGAAGTTCTAATTGCAGAAAATCTGATTTGAGGCTCACTGTTTCACCTTCAGTTTCACATATAATAATTTCCTGTGTGTATTCCTATTCCGATTGACTGTAGGCAAGGTGAATCAGTCAAGTGTCTATCTGGCCAAGGTGAATCAATCAAGTCTCTATCTGGTCATTTCTACCTACTTATTTATCCTATGTGAGAGTGCCTTACGTGTGTGATTGTTGGGCTGTTAAAAGTTGTGTTTATTTTTAATCTGTATTTCTTTATCTCCCATCCAGCCAATCTGAATTCAGCCTTTACCAAATTACTCCAATGGGGCATCATGACTCAGAGTCACCTCCTGTTAGGCCTCACAGGAAGAGTCCATCTAATAGAGAGAGAGGCATGCATGGTGGTGTGGGAAAGACTTCAAGCCGCAATAGATCCCCTATGCGTCCAAAATCAAGGTCTCCTCCTCACTCACCACTTCGAGAGAAGCCTCCATCTCGCTATAGGTCTCCAAAACGCAGAAAATCAGTCTCACCAAAGAGAGACAAAACAGCAGGCCGCAGAGTATCCCCCAAACATCCAAGGTCTACATCAAAGTCACCAGAGTTTGGGAAATCTCATGCAAAACCTAGGTCTCGTTCCCCTTCACCGCGGACTAGAAGATTAATGAGAGCTCAAGTGGAAAGGGAGACTTCGAGGCAAAGCAAGAGGGAGCATGACAAAAATGGTGGAAGTGAGGAGGATAGAGTTAGGCATAGGGAAATGAGTTCTGACAGGAATGATCATATTGGGCAGAGAGAACAAAGATCAGGAAGGGATAGTTATACAAATGGGTCTTCAAAGCTTAGGCATGAAAGATCCGCTTCTCCTACAGACCACCGCTCCCATAGGCCTCAACATAGATCTGGATCACCTGCTGCTACAAACAGGAGAGAACGTGGCGAGGTGTCTGGTGATATCCTATTACTTTATTACTCTTTATGTCTTATATCTTCCCTTGCATATACTCCGTACTTATTTTGTCACATGATGTAGGATTTACATTAGCTTGAGACTCAGTAGTGTGGGGGAGTTACATAATGCTTAAACATAAATATTTTACTGCTATATACTGCTATTTTTCTTTTCATAGATGCTAACTATTATAAAGAAATTGTTCAAGATATGGCTAATAAATCTCATTGAAATTAGTATTTTTGCATATAATTTGCTTTCAAAATTTTCAATGCTGCTAGAATAACTTATGTGATGCCCATTTACCCCTGAGGCCCTGAGCAAGGAATATTAATCGAGATGTTAACCATATGGATTCTTTCTGTTATATTTATTGACTTGCGGGTCATTTTGCGCAAGGCGCGATAATTAATGTCCAATATAAGAGAATGAGAAAAATTACATTATAGATTGAACATAGGTAAAAATTTAAATTTATATTACATATGAGTAATATGACTAATACAAATGTAAAACAGTAACGTTTTTAACTCATGAGTGCTTTTTACATGCATAAAGGTAGCATTGGATAATCATGCCTGTTGAATTGAAAAAAATCTAATTTATTGTATTGAATGCTTGGATTTCATATCCTTTTTAGCTTCATATGTCGATTCATGTGATAGATCACTGGAATCTGCAGAACAACAAATAAAGGGAACGTAGGGAAATAGAGAAAATATGTCGTAATGGCTTTATTCCTCCAACTGAACAGATCACGAGGATACAGTGCTCAGGGGCTTATTCGAGATGCCCAATCTCCAATTCCTTACCCAACAGAAAATACAGCCTGCTCAGAAATAGCCACTAGGTTACTATTTATAGTCAAGTGTCCACGTAGGGACAAAATAGCATAACTAACTAATTGGCTAATTTATAGCTACCCTCCCCTTCCTCCTTGTGTATACTTTATTATAATATTTAATCGGTGGCTGAGCTGGACGTCTATCAATACCCCCTCCTTGAAAATTCACCTTGTCCCCAAGGTGAAAATCTGGGAAGAGTTCTTGTATCACCTGCATTGGTTCCCAAGAATCCTCAAAATTGGGGAGGCCCTTCCAGTGTATCAAAAGCTCTGCTACTCCCTCTTGGTTCACTCTGGTGTCCATAACTTCCTCCGGGGCAACCTGCAACTCCATTTCTTCATTGAGGCACTTAGGAAGAGGCTGAAAAGAAGTGTTAGGGGCTAACACTTTTTGAGTAGAGAAACATGGAATACTGGATGTAGTTTACTGTCACTTGGCAGCTTGAGTTTATAGGCTACAGATCCTACCCTTTCTAGGATCTCAAAAAGCCCATAGAATCTGGGGCTTAACTTTTGGTTTATCCTTTTTGCTAGGCTGTATCTTTAAGTACACCAAGTCTCCCACCTCCATCTATACTTCCCTCCTGTGCTTATTGGCTTGTTGTTGCATCAAATTCTGAGCTGCAGCTAAATTCCCTTTTAACTCCTCCAACATGGCATTTCTTTGGGCTGTCAGTTGAGACACTTCCTCTACAGCAGTTAGGGTTACATCACTCCTAATAACTGCAGGAGGTTCTTGTCCAAAAAGAGCCTTGTAAGGTGTTAGTTTCAGGTAAGAATGATAATTCGTGTTGTACCAGAATTCAGCCCAATGCAGCCATTGCTTCCATTGCTTAGGTTTCCTTCCTGTAAGGCACCTTAAATAGGTTTCTAGGCATCAGTTTACCACCTCAGTTTGCTCATCTGTTTGGTGATAGGCTGTACTAAATCTGAGTTGAGTGCCTGCCAACCTAAACAGTTCTGACCAGAAAGAACTCATGAATAAGCTGTCCCTATCACTCACAATGGTCTTAGGAAAACCATGTAATCTCACCACTTCTTTTGTGAATAATTCAGCTACCCCCTTAGCATTAAAAGGGTGAGCTAGGGCTATGAAATGAGCATATTTTGTTAGTCTGTCAACAACAACTAATATAGTATCATAACCCTGGGATTTAGGAAGCCCCCCTATGAAATCCATGCTGATGTCTGTCCAGATATTATGGGGTATAGGCAAGGGTTGTATCAATCCGGCAGGTTTGAGAGCCTGGTACTTGTTGGTTTGACAAACTGTACATTCTTCCACATACTTCTTGATGTCAGATTTCATACCATGCCAGTAGAATAAGTTGGTTATTCTCTTCATCGTTCGAAAATACCCTGAATGTCCTCCTACAGAAGAATCATGATACTCCTTCAAAACTTTAAGTATTCTAGGAGACTGTTTTGGTAGAACTAGCTTCCCATTGTGATACAACAACCCTCTTATCATCAGAAAATCTGGATAATTATCAGGTTGTGCTATTACATTTTGAATCAGCTCCTTGCATTTAGTGTCTGACTGTAGCTCCTCCTCCAATCCTTCCCACTCTTGACAGGCGACAATGGATAAAGAGTGTAAGGCAGGTCTTCTGGATAAGGCATCTGCTGCTCTATTCTCTACCCCGGGTTTGTATTTGATTATGAAATTGTAGCCAAGTAGTTTAGAAGTCCACTTCTGCTGCTCTTCCCCCAGTAATCTTTGTTCAGCCAAAAATTTCAGACTCCTCTGGTCTGTATGGATCTCAAAAGTTCTTCCTAAGAGATAGGGTCTCCATTTCTGCACAGCTAATACTATGGCCATCAGCTCTCTTTCATACACAGGTCTGCCCTGGTTCCTTTTGGATAGTTCTTTGCTCATGTATGCAAGGGGTCTTCCTTCTTGCATTAGAACTGCCCCAAGACCAGTTCCTGAGGCATCAGTCTCCAAGATGAACAACTTGTTAAAATCAGGTACTGCTAGAACTGGTAAAGAAATCATGGCCTTTTTTAATTCCTCAAAAGCACTAGTTGCTGCAGCATCCCACTTGAAGCTGTCCTTCTTAAGCAGTTGAGTGAGAGGCAGCGCCAGTTTGCCATACCCTTTGACAAATCTCCGGTAGTACCCAGTCAGCCCCAAAAAACCTCTCAAACCCTTTAGATCTCTAGGTTCTGGCCAACTCACCATTGCCTCAATCTTGGAAGGGTCAGCTGATACCCCTTCTCCAGAGATTATGTGCCCCAAATAGACTAGCTGAAACTGTCCGAACGAACACTTCTTTAAGTTAACTACTAGCTGGTTCTCCTTCAATGCTCTTAGGACACTCCTTAGGTGCTCTTGGTGTTCTTCCCTGTTCTGGCTGTATACAAGTATATCATCAAAGAAAACCAGAGCAAACTTTCGCAAAAATGGCCTCAAAACCTGGTTCATGAGGGACTGAAAGGTTGAGGGAGCATTAGTTAATCCGAATGGCATTACTAGATACTCGTAATGACCATCATGGGTTCTAAATGCTGTTTTTTGGATGTCTGCATCTTTCATTCGAATTTGATGGTATCCAGATTGGAGGTCCAACTTGGCAAAAATTGTAGCTCCACCCAACTCATCCAGCAGCTCCTCAATAATGGGTATGGGATATTTATCAGGGATGGTGATCTGATTCAGTGCCCGGTAATCCCCACAAAACCTCCAGCCCCCGTCCTTCTTGTTGGCTAACAGAATAGGGCTGCTATATGGGCTGTTGCTGGGTTGTATAATTCCTGCCTGCAGCATTTCCTTGATGATCTTTTCTATTTCATTCTTTTGGTACTGTGGATATCTGTATGGCCTTATATTAGGTATTTCTGCCCCTTCCTTGATGTTAATAGCATGGTCACATGTTCTATGAGGGGGTAACCCTTGCATGGGAGTTGTTACTTCTGGAAATTCTGCCATTATCTCTTCCCAAATGGGGTCTCTTTTCAGCTCCTTCTCTCCTTCTTCTAACCTGTGTTCACAAAATATAAGATCATCCCCCGAATCCTGTATGATGTGTGCCATGGTCTGCAAGGATATCTCAATAGAATTTAGCTGGGGTTCTCCTTGTATGATCTGATGTGTCCCCAACTGTTGCCACTGTATTCTGAAAGCTCACTTCTACATCCCCCAATGTGGTTAACCATTCCATTCCAAGGACTAAGTCATTTCCCCCAAGTTCTAGTACTCTGAGAACCAAACCCTCACATCTGCCATTATTGGTTACCTTATTCCCATTCCCTATCTGCACATTGTACCCCGGAATAGTCTGATAAGGTATTCCCCATTGTTCCACCAGTTTTTGTGATATGAAGTTGTGGGTGGCCCCACTATCAATCAACACTTCCACCTGTTTCTCACCCTGTACCCCTTTCAGTAAGCCCTGCACCTTGAAAGCCCTCAGTGAGGGGATTCCTTCTTTACTTATCACAGACAATTGCATGGATTTAGACTCCATGTGAACCATTTCCTCTTCTACAGCTTCCGGTTCCAGCACCTCCAATTCCTCTTCCTCTTCAGAATCTTCCACCAGAATTAATTTATAATTTTTCATCTTGCAGGTGTGTTCTCTGCTCCACTTATCCCCACATTTAAAGCACAGTCCTCTCCTACTCCTTTCCTGGTATTCCTCCTGAGATAGTTGAGGTGCTACTCTTCTTATCCCTGAGGGATTTATTTCCGTCACCTTCGTCCCCATGTGATTGACCTAAGTTGGATTTCCTTTAGCATCTCCAGTATTCCTGTCTCCCGTCTGGGGCCCTGAACTCCCAGGCTTGGGTTTATACCCTTCACCCCAAGCTGAGGATCTGTATTGCGTAGGCCCTTTTTTTCCTTCATTTCTGTCTGCAGTTTTACTCCTCCCATAAATAGCTTCATTTCTCTGTTCAATCAGTAAAGCTCTATCCATTATAGCAGCTAGGGATCTGGAGTTATAGAGTTTGAGTTCCGTTTTAACTTCATCCTTCAGGCCATTGATAAAGATGCCTCACAGCATACCCCTGTCAATATCCTTCTGAGGAGCTATAACCATCTCAAACTCCTCCCTATACTCTTTTACTGTCCCAGTTTGTTTTAAACTGAGCATAGGGCCATACGGATTTTGAATCAAGTCCGGTTGAAACCAACGAATCACAACATCCTTCAGATTCTCCCAAGTTCTTTCCTCAGCCTGATGTTCCCACCACTGGAACCAATTCAAAGCTCTGTCCTCCATGGCCACAACCGATACTTCTACTTTATCCTCCTCTTCAATCCCATTCAGTCGGTAGTAACGTTCCATTATTACGTCCAATTATATGCACCCTCCCCACTAAACAAAGGTAGATCCACCTTTCTACCTGTACGAACACGACGAGCAGGGACTGGTGAGTGTACAGAATTACCTCTCGAATGAGACTGGCTGTGCGGCTGACGTGAGCGACGATGGTGCGGTGATCGCGATCTTCCCCTGGTATGATCGCTCCTGTTCTGGTGAGCTGCCATGGATGCTGCAATGCTATTCTGGATCTGTTCATTCATCGCAGAAGTGAGGTTTGCAATGGTGGCCCTCATCTCCTGCTCAAAAGCCTCCATGCGATGCTCCATTTTAGATCTCGTTTTTGCCATCCACTACTGAATACGAGAACTCAGTTGACGCCGTCCTTGAAATTCAATTTCCCAGGTATGATGCTCTGATACCAATGATAGATCACTGGAATCTGCAGAACAACAAATAAAGGGAGCGTAGGGAAATAGAGAAAATATGTCGTAATGGCTTTATTCCTCCAACTGAACAGATCACGAGGATACAGTGCTCAGGGGATTACTCGAGATGCCCAATCTCCAAATCCTTACCCAACAGAAAATACAGCCTGCTCAGAAATAGCCACTAGGTTACTATTTATAGTCAAGTGTCCACGTAGGGACAAAACAGCATAACTAACTAATTGGCTAATTAATAGCTACCTCCCCTTCCTCCTTGTGTATACTTTATTATAATATTTAATCGGTGGCTGAGCTGGACGTCTATCATCATGTTAGTCGACTCCAAACTCTTTTGGGAGAAAGACTCGGATGTTGTTGTGGATGTTGTTGAGTGCAATGTATATTTCTCAAAAGTTTATGTGTAATTCATTAACCCACATTCCTAGTGTTATGAAACTCAAACCGAACAATCTGATATGGTCGAATCAAATAGGAACCAGGCATATAGTTAGTTCAGGTGTTAATGAAACGAGTGGAGATTGCACTTGACTTAGCATGTCATTAATACCTCAGCATTCAATTTTCTACTCCCTTCGTCCCGCAAAATAGTTCCCGGTTTGATTTGGATCGGAGTTTAAAAAAGTGGAAATAGAGTGGAAATGTACGGTTGTGGTTGAGTAAGAAAAAGGTAAATGAATGTTAGTAACACAAAACATTCCAAAAAGGGAAATGAGAACATTTGTTTTAGAACGGCCCATAATGGAAAGTGAGAACTATTTTGCGGGACGGAGGGAGTAATTAATTACACATTTTATGGAGATTGTACCAGAATTTTATGTGTAATCAAATTAGACAAATTTTACCAGAATTTTAAATAGTATCGTGGGTTGATATAATTATATTTGAATATTTGATAAGAAACATAACGTTTGGATCACCAAATGTATCCCTGAAGAGGTGCAAATTATATAAAAAATGGGCTTATAACTCTCATGGTATAACAAATGACTTATAATATTTTATTGATCCGGATTCTGATGAATTTATTAAGCATGAATGATTAAGATGAGTTTATGTGATATTAAATGAGTATTTTGTTTGAAAGAAATGTATAGTACTATATTGATTTATGTAATTTATTTTACCGAGTATAACCATTACTATAAGAGTATAAGTAGTGGCTTTTGACTATCAAATAATATAACTATCATGGATAATACAATAAACTCAATTCTTAAGAAGTGAGGCAAATCAAAGCAGACACTTAACTCTCTCTACTGTTTAGCTGAGCTGGCCAAACCAGTATTAGTTTGTAGATATTTTTCTTCTCAGAACAAAATCATTAGCACTGCTAATTTATAAAGCCTTCAATATCGTCAGGTTAGGCTGGTTAGCAATTTGACAAGTACTTTTACATGTTTTGGTTTCTATTAACCTTATTCTAGCAACAGTTGTAGTTCATTTTGTAATCTGTATACACGATATAGTGAATTCAATTTTCATCCATAAAAAGGGTGAAGCATGAAATAAACTTTTGCTTTGGCAGAAGAAATTGTTTAGTTCACATTTCACTCTTCTAAAGTTCATATATAAGCTTCTCATCAATAGGGCATTTAAGTAAAACAAAAAGTGTACTAAAAAGTTTTGTACTTTTGATAAAAGAGTACAACTTCTTAAGCATGAAACATTCCAACATAACCCAGGGATACTAACCATTATTCACAATTATAATGATGTTAGATACACATTGATACCAATTTTGTTTTATTTCATGGTGATGGTTTACTTTCTTTTTTCAACGAATTCTTATTTGTCTGTGCAACACGTGGGTTTTTTCTTTGTTCTTCTTCGTGTATATTTGTTGATTTATGTCTTCACTTCTCTTATCAGATTCTCTCTGCAATTGCTGAATGAATTAATGGTCATATAACAATTTTTAGTATTTCTTGAAGGTTGTGTCTAAACTAGTTTATCATATTGTTATATTCACAGGGAACACAGACCAGAGGAGACGATCACAGGTTAGGTGCTGCATGTTTCTTTGTTGTTTCCTTCATTTTATTGCTTTTATTGGCAATGTCTGACCTATAAAGCTGTACCCCTCTATCCTTAGTAGTGTAGGAATATGATCTGTGATTTCATAAAGCTCCAAAACAAGAAAGCCATTGGGATCTTTAATACTATATGCGGATATTATTAACTGTAGCATTTTCGCAAGCTGAGCCCACTTAGTGGGATTTTGGAAAGGGCTTGGTTCAATTGCGCACCCACTTTAAACTCTTCATTTTTGCGCGGTTATAAGGTTCTTCTCAGTGTTGATTAATAATTCTGTGTATGCCCCTCTTACTCATCATGGATATATATCATCCTCTTGCCCGAGCAGGAATAATGACAGCGATTCAGTGGCTAAAATGAAAGAAGCTGAGGAGGCATTACACGCAAAGGAAAAGGTAATTGGTACTCGGTGTTTTTTAATTTGTTTGTTGAGTCTTTTTATTACCAAGAATTTCTCAGAAAATTGTTTATTGAGCTTGTTTCTTTCATTTCTGCACCTTCAACCCTTTTCAGTATTTTTTTAGTTATTTATTGAGCTTGTTTCTTTCATTTCTGCTCCTTCAACCTTTTTCAGTACTTTTTTATTTACTTATGACATTTTAATGTTAGATTTTCGTTGCTTCTTTAGGAAGTAATCAGTATGATTGTTAAAGCCTCCTTTTTTATGTTAGTACTCATGTGCATGCGCAGGAGAAACCTTCCTTTGAGCTATCTGGAAAGTTGGCCGCAGAGACTAATAGATATAGAGGTCAGTACTGAATTCCTCATGAACAGCTAAACAAGTTTTAATGGAATACATGTTTTTTTTCAACAGAAAGAGTCCCTATTATATTTGATGCTATTTATAGTTGCATTCAGGCCATTTATATATGCATGAGTTGTTTAATGACTTTAGGATTACTGTTGTTGTGCCGCATCATGTGGGAATTAGGTTTGAGAATAAGTGTGAGATAAATTTGACCTCTTGATAATCCTTTTGGGGCGAGTAAGGTTTGATTTAAGGTTGGTATCATATCCTGGTTGAATAGTGACACTTGTGGGGCATCACATGGTTTGAGCCTTGAGGCAACCCATTTGTCCACCACTTCAGATGTCCAGCCTGGTTTAGGCTTAGGAGAAGGGTGTGTGTTGACCGTTGAGTATCTCGCTTTGGCTTTCTGCCAGTTTTGAGTCTAGTATATGAGGGTTATTTTAACAATGGTTTGCTGATGAACTATTAATTTCAGGCATAACACTTCTTTTCAATGAGCCGCCAGACGCAAGAAAGCCATCCGTAAGGTGGAGATTATATGTCCTTAAGAATGGTGAAGTGTTTAATGGTATATTTCCATCTCTTTAGTGTATGTATTTATTTATAGGCTTCTACTGACATATATATTGTCTTGTAGTGACTCTTTTCCTCTATTACTCTGTATTATATACTGAATACCAGTTTTTGCAGCTTGTGGTACCCTTAGCACAAAAACTTTGTGTAATTGTGTGGGGATTGAACTGGGTGATGAAATTAAGATTTAGTTTGGTAACCACTTTTTTTTATTTAAGCTTTATTAGCCAGTTTTTTAATGGAACACCTATTTATTTGATTGCGCTTACCGAATTGGTTACAACAAAATCCAAGTCTTAGTCCCAAAAGATGCTTACTGAGTTATTTATTAATGGAAAAAAGTAGGACATAATAGTATGGTTAAAGTTGCTGAACAGGATAATTTTAGCCTTTTTCATACGTAGGATCTTATTTCTCCTTTTAAAAAAAAAATTCTTCATAATTCACTATTTTTAGCAACCTCATTGATATTCCCTCCATTTCAGCAACTTCTGCCAGATTAATTTTTCCCAAATTGGCTCTAATTCTATCCATCATTTTTATTTCCATCTAAGAACCTTTTGTATCTGAATTAAATTATCAATTAAAATGGTTGTTTTCAAATTATTTCAATGAAAATAATTGTTTTCAAGTGCTCGGCTGCTCGCATTGTATGTGAGATCCTTATTTATTTTCATTTTCCAAATAATGTATTTGAAGTTACTTTTCTTAATATTATATGTTTGCTTATGTCTTTAACCAACAGAACCTTTTTATGTTCATCGGCAAAGCTCTTATCTTTTCGGGAGGGAGCGAAGGGTTGCAGATATTCCTACAGATCACCCATCTTGCAGCAAGCAGCATGCTGTTCTTCAGTACCGGTATAGTCCTATTTAAAAATGTCCATTATTGTGACCATACTTGTTCCTGGTTCATTTAATTGGTTACTTAATCTTGGTTCGCAGGCAAGTCGAGAAGGAAAACTCTGATGGCACTTCGTCTAAGCAAATCAGGTTTGTTTAGTTTCAGCTTAATTGCTCTACTTTAAGCTAATACTCTGTAGAATTTTTCCATGGAGTGTTTGGCTACTTTAAGTGCTCCTGTGTTAAGTTGCATGGCTCCCTTGCTGTTATATTCTGATTCACGTTTTCATGACACCTGCATATTTTTTGAAAACAAAAAAGAATGAAGGGAAAACTGTCAAATAGGTCCTCGTGCTATAGCGAAAATGTCAATTAAATCCTTCTACTATTCAAACACCCAATCAAGCCCTTCTACTTATAAAAAACACTCAATTAGACTATTTAGCCGGTAAGTCACCGGTTGTTGCTCACATGGCCATCCAATCTGGCGTTAAATAACTTTTTAAGAAAACTGTAAACGTTATCAGCAACCACCTGGAATTTCCCCGTGTTATCATCATCCCTTTTACTTCTACTTCACCCGCCCCACTCAACCTTCTACTTTCTTCTTTCTACTCCCACGCGTTTCTCCTTGATGTATTCAGCAAAACTAAAGATGATCACCTCAAAGATGTGGCAGCAGGGTAAACCCTTGGCTCTGCTGTACCAAGCCTGTTTAAGTGAAGAAGACGGCCCACCCAACTGGTGGTGTCCAGTAGCAGAACCACGCCTTCCAAATAGTTTCCGAGTCCTGCGGCCCACACTTTTCCCACTATTTCTCGTTATATTCATATCGTGCTGTCACTGGTGCCCCTCCGCCGGCCTCCCACCGAGCGGCGGCTACCTGGAAGATGTTCCCCAGGCATGCCGAATGGCCACAGAGGGTTCATCTGCGTCCTCAAGTCCACCGGTAGGTAGTTCTTCATGTTTGAGTTGGCATTTAGCGCTGCCCAAAATCCCCAAATCAACCCCTTCATCGCTTCCATCTGAGTTACAACAACAACATCCAAGCCTTAATCCCAAAAGAATTTGGAGTCGGCTAACATGAATCGATCTATGATATCGATGCCAAAAAGAGAAGGCGGACAAGAAAAGGAAAAAAAGTAAGATAAAATGAATAAAATAAAGATACATAAATATAAGATAACACTAACACAAGAATATAACCAAGATAAAAGAAAAATAAATAAAAGAGCATAAAAAAGCTAGAAGATAAAAATAACATAAGAATATAAAAAGATAAGGAAGATAAACGATAAAAGAAATGAGAGAGGAAAGGTAGACAAGACATCAATCGTCCACATGGATGTGTGCCCTCCACTTTGCTCTCTCCAAAGACATACTCTCATCCAACCCAAGAATACGCATATCAGTTCTGATTACTCTAATCCAAGTCTGTTTTGGTCTTCCCCTCCCTCTCTTCTCTGACTCTTCTCCCCATCCCTCAAGTTGTCTAACAGGGGGTGCATCACTCGGTCTTCTATGCACATGCCCAAACCACCGCAAACGAGACTCCTGCATCTTATCTTCTATATGTGCTACTCCCACCTTTTGTCTGATTACCTCATTCCGCATGCGGTCTTTTCTGGTATGTCCACACATCCAACGCAACATACGCATCTCTGTCACACTCATCTTTTGAATGTGGCATTGCTTCACCGCCCAACACTCTACGCCATACATTAATGCCGGCCTAATTGCTGTACGATAAAATTTACCTTTCAGTTTAGTCGGCATAACTCGATCGCATAGAAATCCTGAAGCACTTTTCCATTTCATCCACCCAGCTCTGATTCTATGACATACATCTCCATCTAATTCACCATCCTTCTGAATTATGGATCCCAAGTAACGGAACATATCACACACCGGTATCTCCTTACCATCAAGAATAATCCCACTGTTGCTACTGCTTCTACCTCCACCGAACTTGCACTCCATATACTCAGTCTTGCTTTGGCTTAGTTTGAAACCCTTGCTCTCCAATGTTTGTCGCCATACTTCCAACTTTGCTCTAACACCGGATTGTGTCTCATCAATCAATACAATATCGTCGGCAAACATCATGCACCACAGTATATCTTCTTGAATTAACTTCGTAAGTTCATCCATGACTAAAACAAATAAGAAAGGACTCGGAGCAGATCCTTGGTGCACTCCAATAGTAATAGGGAACTCTGCGGTCCTCCTTACACTAGTGCGGACACTTGTAGTACAAGCATCATACATATCCATGATGATGCTGATATACTTACGCGATATGCCTTTTCTAGTTAAGCCCCACCAAAGAACTTCTCGAGGTACCCTATCATATGCCTTTTCTAAGTCAATGAACACCAAATGCAGATCCTTTTTAGTGTCTCTATACTTCTCCACAACTTGTCTAAGAAGGTGAATGGCCTCAGTTGTTGAGCGTCCAGGCATAAAACCAAATTGATTCTCCGAAATTTTCACACTTTTACGTAGTCTTTGCTCAACCACTCGCTCCCAAAGTTTCATGGTGTGACTCATAAGCTTAATCCCTCGATAGTTAGCACATTCTTGTACATCACCCTTATTTTTAAATAAAGGAATGAGAGTACTCTTACGCCAACTCACTGGCATTTTGTTGTTTCTCCAAATCATGTTGAAGAAACGTGTTAGCCACTCGATGCCTTTCTCTCCCAAACTTCTCCAAGCCTCGATCGGTATGCCATCTGGGCCCACTGCTTTCTTCCGGCCCATTTTTCTCATAGCCTCTTTAACTTCTGTTGTTTGAATCCTTCTCACGAAGTCTCTATTTACCATACACTCTGGTATAGTAAGATCATCAATACCTTGGACTTTATTCCCGTTGAACAAGGTATCAAAGTATGACCTCCACCTCTCTTTTATTTCATCGTCGTCCATTAGTACCCTTTGATCGACATCCTTCACACACTTAACTTTTCCGATATCTTGAGTCCTATGGTCACGAAGGCGAGCAAGTCTGTAGATATCTTTTTCTCCTTCCTTAGAATCCAACTTTACATACAATTCCTTATTCACTTTTCCTTTGGCTTCCTTCACAGCTTTCTTTGCTCTTCTTCTAGCCTCTTTGTACTCCTCTATGTTCTCGTCGCTCCAACTTTTGCCCAATTTCTTATAGCATTCTCTTTTGGCCCTTATTGCTTGTTTCACCTCATCATTCCACCAAGATGTGTCCGTTTTTGGTGGCAGACATCCTTTAGATTCTCCGAGTATCTCCTTCGCCACTTTATTAATGGTGGACTCCATTGATAACCACACATCATCCATGTGTGCGTCATTATCAATAGACCAAACATCTTCCTCCAACATTTTGTGTGCAAAACTTTGTTGGAGATTCCCCTCGAGCCTCCACCATTTTATCTTTGGCTCCCCTTGTACCTTAACTCGTCCACTTTTTTACCTCGAAAATCAAGCACAAGCATCCTATGCTGAGTGGCAGCACTCTCACCTGGGATAACCTTACAATCAGTGTAGCTAGTTCTCCAAGTCGTCCGTACTAAAAAGTAGTCAAATTGGGTACTATTAGCTCCACTTCTATAGGTGACAAGGTGAGAGTCTCTTTTCTTGAACCAAGTGTTCATCACAACCAACTCATATGTCGAGGCAAAATCCAGAATGTTCTTCCCCGCTTCATTTCTAGTGCCAAAACCATGTCCGCCATGGACACTCTCAAAACCATCATGACTTGGGCCCACATGCCCGTTGAGGTCGCCTCCAATGACCAGTTTCTCTCCCCTTGGCACTCGTCTCACCACTTCCTCAAGATCCTCCCAAAATTGTTGAGTGATAGATGCATCCAATCCCACTTGTGGTGCATAGGCACTAACCACGGACACGATCTCATCCCCTATTATCAACTTAATGCTCATGATGCGATCGTTCTTCCTAAACACTTCAACCACACCATCAACATAATCATGTGCCACCATAATGTCTACTCCATTTCTGTTTCTCTCTCTCCCCGAGTACCAACGCTTAAAACCTCCGGGATTAATCACGCGTGCCTTTTCTCCAACCCACTTAGTTTCTTGCATGCACATTATGCTGATATTCCTCCTCTTCATAACCTCGGTTATCTCAGATGATCTTCTCGTAAGAGAGCCAACATTCCATGTCCCAAAACGCAATCTAACACCCTGCCTTCTCTTCTTCACCCCACATCGACTCCCACCATGCCCTTGCATATTTGACACCATCCCCGGGCATTGGAGTGACGCATGGCTTCCGGACGACGACCTAGTAGCCTTAGCATTCTTATCACCACACCCAGGCCTATGAAATGTAGCGCGCCCTTGCTCATTTGACACCACCCCCAGGCGGAGGGATGACGCGTCGCTTACGGGCGACGACCTAGCTGTAGTGATATTCATATTTCGATTCATGTCATGTGATGTGACTAAGTGATACTGTTGGCCGTCACGCGCCTACCACAACACCCTCCTCCTTTATCCTAGTTTGGGACAGACATGATACCAAAAAAATGATCTCATGGCGGAATTCGCTTCCATCTGAGTTAAACGCCAAAAATCCGGCTAGTTCTCCGATCTTTTAGCCGCTGGATATCCTGCTTTTGGAATTCAAATAGAATATCTTCATGGTTATATCTATATATGTGTAAGCGGATACAGATTCACAAAGTTCAGAGAGAATAGCTGGAGATAGGACGGGTAACACGAACTTGAGGAGGAAGAAGAAAGTTAAGCGAAAGAGGGAAATAATAAAGAAAAAGTATAAAATAAATTATTTAACACCAATAGGATGTCCACATCAAACGAAATCACCGGTCGTTTACCGGCTAAATAGTCTAATTGGGTGTTTTTGACAAGTAGAAGGGGTTGATTGGGTGTTTGAATAGTATGAGGACTTATTTGACGTTTTCTCTATAATACGAGGACTTATCTGACAGTTTTCCCAATAATGGGGGTGTTTGGATCTGATTCTTAAAAATGCTTCTGCTCCTTCAGGGAGCAGAAACAGAAGTTGGAGTGTTTGAGTGAAAGTGCAAAAGTGATTCTGGTGCTCTAATTTACTCCTAGAATCAGTTTTTTTTGAAGCTAGGGGTGACCAGCTTCTGAAAACTGATTGTGATCCTGCTTCTCTTTTAAAAAAGAAGCAGAAGCAGGATCAGTTCCAAACACCCCCAATGAAAACCAGGGGTGAAAGTGCAAAAGTGATTCTGGTGCTCTAATTTACTCCTAGAATCAGTTTTCAGTGTTATACTGGAAGTTTCTAAAAGTAACATGATGAGTACAGTAGATTTCTTTTTAGTCTATTCCACAACCTAATCTTATAACCATTAACTTTTAAAACTGTAAACTAATGAAATGTGGGTCCTATGTCTAACAGAGACTGAAGTTTTTAGGTTTGAGCATTGTGCACATTTTTTGGGACCAAAATTCATATTTGTGTCCTTTTTCCTGTCATATTACTTCAGACAGGCGAATAGTTGACTTTTGAACATTTTTAAAAAGCTTTGTATTAATCAAAACCCAAACAAACACAGTGATTTCAAACCGCAAAACAACATTTTCAAATAATCTACATAACTGACAGTTTATCTTGATATGGTGATATATTAGGCCGTACATAATGGATCTTGGGAGCACAAATGGAACTTTCATCAATGTGAGTTGTAATTGGCACATCGGGTCTGTTTGGATTGAGGTTTTTGGAAGGATTTTGAGGGCTTATATTTATAAATAATTACACACACACACGAAGTGCTATTCCTGTCTGGTCTGGTCAGACAGGAGGGTGGTCCGCCCACCAGGTTTTGAGGTGGTTCCCGGTGATTATTTTTGCTCAATTATTTTGAGCATGTTTCCCATGAAGTGTAGATGATTTTGAGGCCTTATATTTATAAATAATTACACAAACACACACACAAAGTGCTATTCCTGTCCGGCCTGGTCGGACATGAGGGTGGTCCGCCCACCAGGTTTTGAGGTGGTTCCCGGTGATTATTTTTGCTCAATTATTTTGAGCATGTTTCCTATGAAGTGTAGATGATCACCACCAAATTTCACCAAAATATACATATAGACTTATAGATACATATAAAACACAGTTATCTTCAAAAAAACATTTCACTGCCTTCCCGATTGATTTTTTTGCTGAAATTTGGTGGAGATCATCATCTACACTTCATGGGGAACATGCTCAAAAAATTGAGCAAAAAATACCTTTGGGAACCACCACAAAACCAGTTGGCCGGATCACATATATGTGTACATATATTATTTATTTATTTACTTATGAGATTTCTGAAGACCTAGGCTTTCTTTTTAGAGAGAATTCCCTAAATAGGAGTAAAAAAGTTTTGAAATTCCAAAATCGGAGTATCATGTTTTTTATTCCTTAAATAGAAGTAAATTTCTGCCAAGTTTGGCATTACTAGGCTTTAAAACATGACATTTTTTCCAAACTTGGCAGATTACTCCTATTCAGGGAATAAAAAACATGATACTCTATTTTGGAATTTCAAAATGTTTTTGCTCCTATTTAGAGCAATTTCTATTCTTTTTATTGTATAACATCTCATCCAGCTTTTATTCTATTTTATCAAGATACTTGGCCTTCCGTAGTCTTCACCTCTAAAACCCTGCAAGCAAAAAGACCCTTGATAAATTTGCCATGATATTATCAGATCACGTTTTTGTTGCTTATAGGACAATCGAATTGAACCTCAACGATACTATGAACTCTTGGAGAAAGACACTATAAAGTTTGGCAATAGCAGGTATGTTTCACAAAGTAGCTGTAGAACTTCAACATAAACTGCAATTCCTTCCCGTCTTTTCTTTGCTCATGTTATTTACAATTCTACAGCCGTGAGTATGTGCTGCTTCACGAGAACTCTGCTTGACAGATTCTCGGCAGTTGGAGCCTTGGAGGATTGCCAATCAAATGTTTATGTGGGAAAGGCCTCAGTAGCTTGAAGCTTACTGTTGGGAGAGCAAACTCAATTTTTTTGTGTTAACATTCACTTTTGTTGTAACTTTGGCGTTCACTGTTGATTACATGAATGTTTCGATGGGCACTAAGGTTCATTATATTAATTAATTATAAAAATTCCTTTTATATTTTAACATATACGGATATACATAGCATATTAGAAGTATAATGCTGTAATTTAGTTAATAGAGAAGTTGCACCAACTAATAGTGAAGTTACGGGTAGGGATGGACCGGGCCTGGACCGGGCTGCTGGCCGGGACTGGGACTAAAATTTTCAGGCCCAGTACCGACCCGAGTTTGTACCGGGCTGGGCCTAAACAGTACTGGGTCAGGACTGGGCCTTGACAGGCCTGGATAATAAATTAAAAAATAGTTCAATCGGGCTCAGGAGTCGGGACCGACTCAGGACTGACCGGGTCGAGCCTAAAAAAATGAGCCCGAAGCCCGTCCTTATAGCCACCGGGCTGGGCTCCGGGTCAAAAGAAGACTTGGCTGGGACTAAACAGGATCGCGCCGGGCTGACCCTTCCCAGTCCATCCCTAGTTACGGGGTCCAAGTGCATGTCGTCTTTTTTTTTTTAATTTAAGCAATTCAAATCCAGCAACAATCTTACTGTAAAAATCTATTTCCTTGATTTTGCATTTTAAAATTCTTGAAAATTTTACCGGTTTCACTTTCACAGCTTTCTCGGTTGCCTTCGGTAAAGGTAGGTAGGTAGGCTTGGACTCGGGTCGGGCCACCCGGCTCGTGGACCGGCCCGGCCCGGTTCTCGGGTCCGGGTCCGGGTAGGGCCTAGGCCCGGGGGGTAGGGCGGGTCCGGGCTCGGGTCTCAATTTTGGTGAACCGGCCGGGTCGGGCCCGGGCCAAATTGATTTTTTTTTTTCATTTTTTTTCATTTTTGGGGTTCCACCCGGGTTGGGCTTGATGGGTAGGATGGGTTTGGGGGGGTTTGGGAGGGTGGGGGGTGAGGGGGGTGGGTTAGGAAAGCAAAAAAAAAAAAAATCCAAACCGGAGGCCCGGCCTGGACCCGGACCGGACCCGGTGGCTACCCGGGCCGGTCCCGGGTCCACCATTCTTGAACCGCCGGCCCGCCCGGGCCTAGGCCTGACCCGGACCTGGCCCAGACCCGAGTCCACCCCTATAGGTAGGTATTCTTGATTTCTGGTTAACGATTTCTTCATTAATAAATAGTGATGGACCTGGGCCGGTTCCGGGCCGGGTCTGGCCGGGCTTTTTTCCCAAGTACTCGGGCCCGGAACCGGCCTAGGTTGATACCGGGTCTGGGCCTAACCGGGCCGGGCCGGGCCTGGTTCAATGTCTATTTTTTTTTTTGCTTTCTTGTTATCCCCCTCACCCCCACCCCCCAAACCTCCCAAAAAAACCCAGCCCTACCCTAGGAAAAGAAAAAAAATTGAAAAAAAAAAATTGACTTGGGCTGGTTCACCCAAAACTGGGCCTGAGCCTGGCCTGCCTGACCCGCCCGAACAGGCTAAAAGCCTGGAACCGCCCAACCAGTCCCGGTCCGGTCCGGGCCCGCACAGTAGCGGGCCGGGCCAGTTCTGGGCCGGCCCGATTTAGTCCATCCCTATTAATAAAGTAGTCATGGACTCGGGCCGGGTCGGGCCCGGGCTGGGCCTAGGCCCGGTCGGGCCGCCGGTTCGTATCATATGGGCCCGGGACCGGCCCGAGGGTTGGACGGGTCCGGTTCGGGCCGGGCCACCCGCCCGGGTCACGGGTCAGGCCACCCGCCGGGCCGGGCCGGATCGGTTAATTTTTTTTTTGTTTTTATAATTTATATTTTATACTTTATAGTTTTATACAAGTATTAAAAAACAAACTTCAAGTGCATTTATTTGAAATGAAATAGGAACTACATTTGAAAATTAAATAGGAACTACAATTGTTTTTAAAACATGAAATACTAATCAATCATTCAATCGGAATCTCCGGCATAGGTAGAGCCACCCTCGGTTGTAGATTCATCCATAAAGTGTTGGGATGTGGTGATGTCAATTTCTTGAGCTCTACGGGCTGCTTTCAACCAATCGTGGTAGCATATAAGCATCTCAAGAGATTCAGCGCTCAACCTCGTTCTGGTTTGTGTTAGGACATTGACGGCCGAACTAAATTCTTGTTCCACGGCAATCGTTGAAACCAACATTGATAACACTTGCTTAGCCATCTTTGCTAAAACCGGGAACATTCTTTCTTTTCCCTTCCACCAGTTTAGTACGTCAAAATCATCATCTTTTTCAAAATCAACATCATAAGTTAAATACAAAGAAATCTCATTAATTGTGCTTTGTTGTGTAGCGGGAGTTGATTTCGTTTTTTTAATAAGATTGACAAACGTAGATTTGAAAATTGATTTTCCTTTAGATGATGTTTGTGTCGGGGGAGGGGGCGCATTGCCATATTGTGCATGAAACTCATTGAATAATGCATAAAATATATCACTAACCTCGTTGTATTCTTTTTTCGGATCAATTGGGTTGTCCTTATACATTGGCAATGGACCAAAAAAAGCAGCATAATAATAATTCAAACATTCTTCTAAAGAACCAAGTCTAAAACGAGGGTCGAGAACAAATGCAATACCATAAATATGCGGAATATGTGAATAATATTTCAAAAACTTTTCCTTCATAAAACTAGCAAAATAACTCACATAATCAGCATTCTCAAAAATTGAAAAAGCACCGGCGAGATTAACAGCTTCACGAATAAATTGGTTTGAGGTAGGTTTATAAACATGACTAAAAGTTTCAGTTGCATTATTAAAATATATCAAAGCATTACAAATTTTTTCACAGGTGTCGATCTCAGCTGAGTTTATAATATAGTTATCATACTGTTTCATAAAAGCAGGAAAATGTTGTTTATATCTAAGAAGAACTCCAATTAACTTATAGGTACTATTCCAACGAATAGACACATCTTTAGGAAAAACCACATATCTCTCACCTCTTTCTATCAAATAATCATGTCATTTTTTCCTAAGTTGTCCATTACCCCAAATACGTCTAATCCCCCCCCTTGACTACCTCCAACGATGCTCCCAACGCTTTTAGACCATCTTGCACACATAAATTTAGAACATGACATGCACATCGTTGATGAAAAAATCTACCCTTCAAAGAAGTAGAACCACATAATTCACGCAATCTAGGAATAGCAGCAGTATTATTAGTAGCATTATCAAAACCAATAGCAAACACCTTATCAATTAAATTATACTCAATTAAAATACGCTCAATCAAAATATAAATATGTTCAGCGGTGTGACGATCATTAAATTCACGGAAAGCAAGAACACGTTTATGCATATGCAATCATTATCAATATAATGTACAGTCAGATCCAAATAATGTAAATTATGATAAGTATCCTCCCATATGTCAGAACATACAGTAACACGTCCATCAAAGTTTGCAAAATAATTTTGTAACCTTACCTTTTCCGCACCATAAAGCCTTGAAATTTCTTTCTTAACCGTTTTGCGACTATAACCTCTATATTGCGGATTTAAACAAGTTTGTGCATAATCACGAAAAGCAAGACTTTCAGAAAACAAATAAGGCAAATTTACTTCAACAAGTAACTTAGCCATACCTGTCAAATTTTGTGCATCATTGTATGAGAAATTACACAAAGCTTGTTGGTTATTTGCAAACCTCGATATTTGCGTTTGCTTCCCTGTTCCGCCGCCTAATTTTGTATACTCCACCGGGTGTTTGGACTTAAGGTGTCTTGTGGCGGATCCGTATCCGCCGGAAATCCCCAAGCTATAGTTTTTCTTGCACCAATTGTAAGTTGCGGTCCAATTCCTGGTGTTCGGGTCCTTCCACTTAGAAAAATTATTAGCCATTAGTTCAGATTTACTTTTTTTTGTACCTGTTTGGGATGAGGCAGGTTGGTCGGCGTCATGGCTGCCGCCACCCTCCTCCTCCTCCTCCTCGTCGTGGCTCTCCGGAATTACTTCATCCACATCGTCGTCCTCGTCCTCGAGCTCTTCTTCGTCAATGGTCCTCGGTTGGTCTTGAAAAAAGCAGGAATTATGTCGGTGCAATTCTTGTTCTAGTTGTTCGTCGGTCATCGCATCCCCATCCCTCCTTGCGTAACCCGTATCAAAATCATCTCGACTTTGAGATGAAGAGCCGATATGTGATTTACCTTTGCGGGATCTCTTCCTCGCAAGCTCTTTCGTTTGGTTGCGCTCGAGGTTACCCATATCAACCGGATATCTAGGACGATCCATCTAAAAAATGTAGCGATTAATAAAAAATTGTAAAAAAGTAATTAACTATTTATCTAACTATTAATTCGAGTTATAGCAAATTAACTAGTGAATTAACTAGTTTTGTGTATAACCTATTTTTTTAAACTAGAGTCAAATGTAGCAATTAATAAAAAATTGTAAAAAAGTAATTAACTATTTATCTAACTATTAATTCGAGTTATAGCAAATTAACTAGTGAATTAACTAGTTTTGTGTACAACCTATTTTTTTAAACTAGAGTCAAATGTAGCAATTAATAAAAAATTGTAAAAAAGTAATTAACTATTAATCTAACTATTAATTCGAGTTATAGCAAATTAACTGGTGAATTAACTAGTTTTGTGTACAACATATTTTTTTACTAACAATGAAATTAATACACTTTAACTTTAACTATAATTAGAATTACAACTAGTTTTTTAAACTAGAGTCAAATGTAGCAAATTGTACAACCTAATTAACTATTTTTTAATAAAGTAATTAACTATTAATCTAACTATTAATTCGAGTTATAGCAAATTGTACAACCTAATTAACTAGTTTTTTTTTCAAGTAACGTTAATACAAAATTAAACAAGTGTAAATAATAGAATAATTTCGTACCTCTTTCTGACTTTTGGTCTTTCGGATGGGAGTAATAGAATGACTTCAAATTAATTAGATATAATTCCAACTATATTAATAGATATAATAAATATATAAGTAATATATAATTAGATAACAAATATAAGTAATATGATACTATTTATATCTATTTATAGTTTATATAAGTAGATAATTAATATAAACTATAAATAATAAATATAATATATTGGAGAATAAGAGAATTAGAGAGTAGAGAGTTAAGAATAGGATTTAGGAAGAATTGGAGAAGAGATGTGAAAAAATGTTTAAGATTAGGAGTATTTATAGGTTTTTTT